CCTTCACAGTGGTCTCAGGTGTCTTGGTGGTCTCTCTATTCTTTATTTATTAATCCTCAACAATAATAATAATTCTCTACATTTTTCCCATCACATATGTGGAACAAAGAAAATTCTTTGGAACAAAGAAAATTCTTTGGGATGGGCTCACTAAAAAGAGCCGACTCTTTTGGCTCCCAAGTGACTTCTCAGATTGTTTGTTGCATAAATCATTACCAAAGTATGTGTAAAATGAATACTAATGTAAAAACCTACATTATTTCAAATGCTCATATACAGCAAGAAGCAACAGCTTCCCAAACCAGGATCACCAGAGACAGTGGTCAGCTTTAATGAGGAAACAACAGCTAACGTTTCAGCGGTGCTGTTTCCTCATTGAGACAAACACGCATCACTATCACTGCTGCTCTGGTAAAAGTGCTTCTGTTTTTGCTGTGCCACAATTTGTCATCACATGCCAGTTGAGCACGCCTTTGTCAGGTGAGTTTGAATGCACTTGCTTCTTCTTTTTTGTGTTTAGTTACATAGCTTTATATTTTCAACATAGAACTGAGTGCTACACAAATATCAAATACAGCAAAAAGCAAAAACCCATCACAGTTAGACAAAAAGATTAAGTCTCTCATTGCGTATATAATTTGTAAATTTGTAACTGTATAGTGAAACAACACAGCAAAACAACACTCAACAAAATCTTAATAAAAATGTGCAAAACAAAGGGAAACTGCGGCATCCACAGTTTTTGCAAGTCTTTAGTGGTATTCAGAGAAAAAAAAAGGCTCACAACCAGGAGCCAGCTTTTAGAGGCAGATTGTTTTCACAAACAAACCATCACTCAAGCAGAGGGATGGACAAAATGTTTTACCAAGTGGACTGGTCATAGATGAGTTATGTCATTCTTCACAGTGCACCATTTTAGGTAGTTGACCAAATCAGTCCTGACTCAGTTACTACTGTTTTAAGATTTTGTTAAAATGCCTGTCAGTCTATTTCATTTTAAACCACTTATGCTGACTTATGAATATTTTGTCGACTAATTTATTCAATAGGTTATATGTTCAATGTAATTGTTAGCATTTACAGTATGTTTAAGTCCAAAAGTGACTTGCAGTAGATTTTTTTATTCCATCTTCAGAGTCAACATTTCCAGTGTTGGACAAAATTTTCACAAGTTGGCATGAATTGTTTTAAATGTTACAGTGTGACTGGGCATTAAATGAGACATATTATGATTTTAAATAATTTTGCATTCAACTGAGGTCTATGTAAAGCGGAACTGCAATACTTTGATCTGAATTCCTCCCTTTTGTAACTCCACAAGCCCCTCTTTCACCCCTTTTCTGAGGTGTGTCTCAGATCAACTCATTTTGAGGCTGTCTCTTTAAATCCAAATGAGGCACTTCACACTACACCACCTTTCAACTTCCACAGTGGTTCATTCTAATTTGGTAGAAGAGTTTATGACTAAGTACTATCGCAAATACTGTAACGTAATAGTCCAGAAAACATCACAGAGAAAAGAAAAAAAATTTAACAAGTTAAAAATATGACCTAAACAGAATATAAAGATATCTACGCAGCACAGAGAGAGACTAAATTCAACTTTTCTGCACTCCTAGAGACTCCAGTACTCAACAAAATGCATTTAACAGCTAAAATAGTGGATTTTGCATGACATGTCCTCTTAAAGTAAAGATAAGACAGAAAACCAACATTTAAGATGTTATACCTGGTTGGCTTTGTTTGTGTATTTATTTTCCACAAAAGCAGTGAGTTTGGATTCTTAAAAAGTGTTTTGAAACAGAAATAACAATGATATAATGATTACATATATTGCAGGGCAACATGACGTCTTAGTGGTTACTGATATGTTGGCAAGAAAATACTGGATCTTTTTTGTGGAGTTTGTATCTCAGTGGGA